GAAGATGAAGCTGATCCTCCGGGAGCGACTGGCGTTCGTTGGCAGTCGTGATTGTTTACCTCTGGATGAGCTGTGAAGCAGCGTGAAGCTCTGTTCTTTTGTGCATGTGGGTCAGTTTAGGAGCTGATCTGTTCAGACTGATGTCGCATACAGTTCACATTTAAAAGATAATGTGAACAGCCAAACAAACAGGTTTGGTGAGAAAATCAGATTTGGCCTGCTTTTACCTGTGAACGTAGACTTTGAAACATCAAAGAGCCCACGTCATGGAAAAATGAATTTTATTGAAATAAAAGAGTTTGATGTTAAATGTAAACATTGTAAACACTTGAAAACATACCATTGATTCCCCAGTACGTACAGCCCTTGTATTAAAACTAAGCTGCCGGTTTGGAATTCACTGTATTAGTGATGTAACAAAAAACACCGTATTTACATATGTCCATCTATTCAGCCTACAGCAGTTTAGCTCCACCCACTTACACTGAAGATGTAAGGAGCGTTTCAGCCAGGGCTGCCAATCAGAATGGAGATAATTTACATACATCAGTCTTAAAGACAAGGTAACAAGAACAGCCTGTTGAATTCTAAGGAATAACGTTTGGAAAATGGTTATGTACCAATTAATTATGACTGATTTTGGTACATACAACCCACTTCCCATGCCTTTTTTCCCTCTGAGCTCTACTTAAGACATTTGTAAGACATTTTGATGGGCCTTTAAAAAATGAACAGGTTTCATTACTTATTACAGACTAGCATTCAACTGATAAAATGGCCCCTTTTTATGTTTCTCTCGCAGCTTATCTTACCCACTCGTTTTCAGGAAAATCGTGCGCTTACGTAACATTTACATTGCTTTCCTGCTTTTGGAGGAACAGAACAGAGCTCATTTACATATTTACACCTACATGTGTCTTCTGAGTTTTTATATGGAAAGTTGATGATTGTATAATAAAGAGAAATATGAAAAATATGTTTTTTCTGGGGACTATCACCGTAAACCCATTACAAAATTGCATAAAATTACATTTTAGGCCAAAACTTTACCTCACAACGAACAGAAAACTGTGTCTCAGGCATCAGGCAACGTCTTCATAAGCATTTCATGTATGGCTTAAGTTCCACACCATGATTCCTCCCTCACAGAAGATACATTTGCACTGCTCAAAGTCAGTTCCGGTCAGGTCTGAGCAGTGATCCTTGCTGAGGACTTTAACATCCAGGCACCTCAGGTCCTTTAACACCCTGACCTAAAACCTAAACACTGCTAAATGAACTTCAGGATCTCAAACCCTTCAGGATCTCTACTCTGAAAATGGAAAGTCTGCTCATCAAGACAAAACATAAACAAACCATGAACTGATCGGCTAACAGGTTGAGAGAACTAGCTACGCGTTTTACACATTTAAAGCACTGTAAGAATCTCACAGCAGACTATAAACGTGGTTCTACTGACTGATTGTTCCAGCCGGCTAGCAGTGTTCACACAGACTTATACAGCTCACTGTTCTCCACCTCATGGATTAGCTTCTTTAACTGTGTTGTGGTGAAAGGTGGCTGGTTTGACCACAGTTTTTAACAGGGAATGTCAGCATGATGCTAGTTTTCCCAAGCTGTCAGCTGATCAGTGCATACTTTGTTCATATGATTGGCTGTTTGTCATAAATGTCACTCTTTCATTTAAAGTGTATCTAAATCTGGATTAAAAATAATCTGAGTATCTACACCTGGTTTGATCACAGTCTGAGTATCTAAACCTGGATTAATCACAGTCTGAGTATCTAAATCTGGATTAAAGATAATCTGAGTATCTACACCAGGTTTGATCCAAATCTGAGTATTTAAACCTAGATTAATCACAGCCTGCATATCTAAACCCGGATTAAAGACAATCTGAGTATCTAAACCTGGTTTGATCCAAATCTGAGTATCTAAACCTGGGTTAATCACAGTTTGAGTGTCTAAACCTGGATTAATCACAGCCTGAGCATTGTTGGCTCTAAGTCATTATCACTTGACTTCCAATTCTTCAGAAAAAAACTTACCTGAGTGCGAAATTAACAGTGTATTATTTTAATCATGTTCCTGATCATCTTTTGGTTTAGTTAATATTAGTAAAAGGGCTCTCTGTGGGTGCCACTGAAAAAATGAACCACATTTGTAGCATCAAAGAAAACATAAATGTGTCACAAAATTCATCTTCGATCATCCTTGGTTTATTATTTGTGGAAATATCAAATCTATAAGGTAAATAGAAACACTGTGTCTATTATTTACATCAACATCTGAAAGGTTGACCTGTTAGACCGTCTTGCCCCTGCGCATCAATGCATTTCAGATGAGCTTAAGCCCAGAGAATTCGGCGGCGTTTCTGGATGCTGTTGACATATGGCTTCCACTGTGAATTAAGTTGTGTTTGTGGATCCTGTGATGAACAGTGTTTATTGACAAACATTTGGCAAAGTATTCCAGAGCCCATGCGGTGATAGCCATTACAGAATCATGCTGGTTTTTAATGCAGTGCGTACTTTTTTGGATTCTCTGAATCTTATGATAATATTATGCACTGAAGTGAAATACCTAAATACCTGAAATCTTTGAAACTGCTTGTTGTTAATTTTTTATTGTATATTAATGATTTAGAAGTAGCTTGTTCATACAACCTTTGATAATGCGGCATTGTTAGTATCTCACAAAGATAAAACTGAGGTAGAAAATAGATTAAGTATTGAGCTTCAAAAAGTTTCAATGTGGTTGGTTGACAATACATTGTCCCTTCATTTAGGATGAATGGAGGTAATCCTGTTTGGCTCTTGAGGTGGACTAAAGAGTTCAGAGGGTTTACTGTGAAGGTAGGTCAGTTTCTAACAAATCAACAGTAAATTATTGAGATTGTGTTTTAGATAATCAGTGATCAGGAGATGCAAACGGCTCACAAAGCATTAAAATTGGACTAGAAAAGACAGTTTCTAGCCAGTTTTAGGCATTTTAATTGGTAGATACAGCTGCAGATATGTGGAATAGACATCCTGCTTCTCTTTAACAATTACAAGTTAAGAAGAGTTTCAATTTTCTTTTGTAGAAATGGCTGCTAAATATGTGACATTGTGATTCGGTATGACTTTATAGTAATTTTCACTCACTGTTTCTGCCTGACTTACAGTCTTGATATATTTTATGAGGACGACAATGGTCCTCATACTAATAAAGTTAAACATTTTGTCTTTGTGCTGTTTTCTTTTAAATGCTTTGTTTTCTGATTTTTATATTAATCCTGAGAAAATTAATAACTTGTACTTAACTTGACTGTTTTGCCAGGAAATTGAATTAATGAATGGCTGGTCATTCACTTTTGCACAGTACAGAATGTGCAAGCAGTTTACAAAATGGTGAAACCAAGATTCAGCACTATTTGGTGACTAGCGCCATCTGCTGGACAAAAACTACACTGAATATTTAGAAGTATTGTTTGAATGCATTTGTAGTGGACATTTGTAGATTAAGACTTTAGTAATATCTTGTTGATTTATCATAGCAGGAGTGAAGCCTTAGACTACACACTTACACACAAAACACATTTACTAAACTTTCCAAGCTGGTCCTGTTTATTGCTTTACATAAATGTAGCCGTCAGTTACAGTGTGCCTTTCAAAGAAACAGTTCAGTTCATAAAAAGTCAATATCCACCAGTTAGAAGCAGAAAAAATGACATCATGCCTATTTCATCATACTCTCGCTTCAGGAGGACAGTGGTTTTCAAACCAGCCCTCGGGACCCTTCAGACATTCCACATGTTTGCTCCATCCCAGCTCTTAACACACACTAACCAAGCTGTTAAAGGGCCCATATCTTGCATTTTTGAGATAAAAGGGTTTGATGTAGTATGTAAACACTGTTAAAGGGCCCATCTCCTAATTTCCATGTATACGTTTGGTCTACTTTTGTGTGGTTTTATGTGCCAAAATCAATCATAATTCATTTGTACATGACCATTTTCCAACCTTTATTCCTTAAAATTCAACAGGCTTTTATATGTAAAGACTGATACATGTAAACAACCTCCATTCTGATTGGCTGCCCTGGCTGAAACACTCCTTACATCTTCAGTATGAGTGGGCGGGGCTAAACTGCTGTAGTTTCAGTATAAGGACTGTATGTACTGGGGAGTGAATGGTATGCTTTGAAGCTCTAACAATGTTTACATACTACATCAAACTCTTTTTTATTTCATATTTTCCATGATGTGGGCTCTTTAATGTTAATGTTTAATGTTTGCTCCGTTCAGTCCATATATGGAACCTAAGCTGCAAAAACAGCCTGTTTTGAATTCAGTGCTTTTGTGACGACACAAAAACTAACATATTTACATGTAGCCGCCCATTCAGCCCACAGCAGTTTAGTCCCTCCTATTCATTCATGAAGTTATAAGAAGTGTTTCAGTCTGGGCTGCTTTTTATATGAGGCGCAGCCAATCAGAACAGAGCTCATTTACATAGACACTATATGGACAACCGTATTGGGACACCCCTCCTAATTATTGAGTTCAGGTGTTTCAGCCCCACGCATTGCTAACAGGTGGATAAAATTAAGCACATAGTCTTGAAGTCTCCATAGACAAACACTTGCAGTAGAATGAGTCGTACTGAAGAGCTGAGTGACTTTAAACATGACATCATAGGATGATATGGGGCTGTTTTTCAGGGGTTGGTCTAGAACCCTTAGTTCCAGTGAAGGGGAAATCTTAATGCTTCAGCAAACCAAGACATTTTGGATAACTGTACACTTCCAACTGTGTGGAACAGTTTGGGGAAGAACCTTTTCTGTTCCAGCATGACTGAGCCTCAGTGCACAAAGCAGCTCCATAAAGGCCTGACTGGGGTGAGTTTGGTGTGGAAGAACTTGACTGACCCTCACAGAGCCCTGACCTCAACCCCATCACACACCTTTGGGATGAACTAGAACAGAGATTGTGAGCCAGGCTTCATACCTGGGATTCATAAAAGCTTCTTGTGTAATGTGAAGATGTCCCAATACTTTTGTCCATATAGTGTATCAGTCTTAAAGGCACAGTAACAAAAACAGCCTGTTTAATTTAAAGATGTTATAAAGAGGTTGTAAACATGAATGGACTGTTTTTGGTTAATAAAACCACACCGATGTCATAAATCCACTTCAGGGAACAGAATAAAAGACATGTGAAATGTAGGATATGAGCCTGAATACCTGGTACAGGTGTACTGGGAGCTGGATTAAAGGAAACATGAGAGCTGGTACGAGATCTGCTGGTTTAAGGCATTGTGAGAGCCAGTTAGCAGAGGCAATGTACAGTCCTTAGTGAAATACAGCATAATAAGGTCTATAATAGCATCGTCTTCTAGAGTCGTTCATCAGGGAACCAGATCCAGCTGGTTTACACTTCATTAATGGTCTCATTAATCCACTGTCTGACAGGATCAGCACAGACGTCCATGAAGTTGTTGACAGAGATTTCAACTCCATATACAACATCAGCAGAGCCTTCTGTCCTCAGAATGGGTCCACCAGTGTCAGTCTTCATGAAGTATATGAGAGAGAGAGAGAGAGAGAGAGAAGAGAGAGAGAGAGAGAGAGGGAGAAAGAAATGGTAAGATACACCATAAGCTTTTATTGGTGATTAATACAATGGCAAATGATTTTTCCCAAAGTAGGACTGTCACTAATATTGGCATTGATATTTACACATGATATTGTTTTCCTCTACATTAACCTCTTTAGATTTTAAAGCTAGTCCCACAGATTTTATTTTATTTCAGCATAATTAAATGTTTAAGAGTTAAATTATAATAATTAATAATAAAATGTAAACAGAGTCATTCAGAGCGGTTTGGTGTGAAATGCTCTGTTCTAGCGAAACTTACTGAGTCAGAATTGTTCACAGTGGTGGTGATAGGAACCAGACGTCCACTTCTAAAAGCTCCCTCAAGGACAGTTATTACATGAAATGGTTATGAATTCACTGCCTGATAGTTTTGGCCTTTAAAAGTGGTGATGACTTACTGGACAAAAGCGGAATGGTTCAACACTTTTAATGGGTGGGGCGTAGAAGAAAAGCTCAGAAGTTTTAGTGACGCTACGGTCCACACAAAGTGGACGCACCTTATCTGGAAAAAAAAAAACACACACAAAAACAAATATTTCAGTCTTAAAGCAACAGTTCAGCACAAACACCATCTGAGCACGTTTTTTGGTGTCCACAGAATAAAGGAGCCATAAAACCCGACTGCACACTAAGGATCCCGTTTCAGCACAGCAGGTTTTGAGGTGACACCACAGAGTTTTGGAAAGGTTTGGTAGTTCTGGGTGTGGTTTGACAATTTGTGGTACAGTTTAGCAGTTTTTGGTGTGGTTTGGCAGTTTTGGTAATTTTGGTATGGTTTGGTAGTTTTTGGTATGGTTTAGTAGTTCTGGGTAAGGTTTGGCAGTTTCTGATATGATTTGGCAGTTTTGAGTGTGGTTTGGCAGTTTTTGTTATGGTTTGGCAGATTATGGTACGGTTTGGTAGTTTTGAGTGTGGTTTGGCAGTTTCTGGTATGGTTTGGCAGTTTTTGTTATGGTTTGGCAGATTATGGTACGGTTTGGTAGTTCTGGGTAAGGTTTGGCAGTTTTTGGTATGGTTTGGTAGTTTTGAGTGTGGTTTGGCAGTTTCTGATATGGTTTGGCAGTTTTTGGTGTGGTTTGGCAGATTATGGTATGGTTTGGTAGTTCTGGGTATGGTTTGGCAGTTTATGGTATGGTTTGGTAGTTTTGGTATGGTTGGTATTGTATGGCCACGTATAATTTACCTATGAATGTTGTTGTATCCTCTGAATTATTAGGTCGTTAAGAAGCTGAAATATGAATTTTCCTAAATGCGAGCGAACATGAGTATGCGATTTTCCTCAAAAAGAAATGCTGCTCAGACCCTGAGCTCCTAATATGGCCTGTCGGCTTCTTTCCTGACTACAGAATCTGACAACGTCACACATCTGTTAGTAAATAACTGTGTTTTGATCACAGTTATGATGCCCCCAGCAATTTTCTTACACTATTCTAACATCTGCACACCTGGCCGCTCATATAGGCCTTGATAATTGTCAGATCTGAGTAGAAGAAACACGGTTTCTCACCTGTATTTGAATCGTACTGCGTGTAATGACAATTGACTCCAACAAGCTTCTCTCCAATTTTTGGACGAGTGCAATAAGACGCTGGAAACTGGGCCGTGACGATGTTACTCACAGGCACAGGAAGTTTGACCAGCATGATATTATCAGCATCTGAGTCTTCATTTTTGAATTTCCTTATGTTGTCATGTGGAATCACTTGATTTTCACCAGGACGGGAGCTGAATTTCACTTTTAAAGGTTTTCTAGAGAGAGAAGCACAAAACAGACATAGAGTAAAGACACTGATTTTGTTTGAACTGTGTAACCAATTATAAGAAGATGAACACTAATAACTTTAGCAATTCAAAACTATACACACTTTCAAGCAGAGGTGTATAGGTTCAGGTTCAAGTCCTCCCAAAGATTTTCTTCCAAGTATTTAAAAACTACACTGGTATTCAAAAACAATAACAGTATTTCAACATTCTGATGTGTCAAATTCTATTCGATGTCTGAATGGCTAAATAAACACATTTCTATTATAGTGCCACACTGGCCACACTGCCATGGGAGCGCAGGAGGGATGGCCCTCTTGGGAGGCGCCACACTCATGGTAGGAGAGCACTACGAATGGCCAGGATAACAGGCAGGTCACTTCTAGCCTTGCATAGTCCATGTTTGTCCTAAACATACTCGAAATGATAGTTACAGATGCAACCGTGGTTATGTGAGTAGTGATACAGTTCTTACCTGCTGTGGCCACAACAATCGTGGAATCACACAATCTGGTTAGCACACAAGCTAACCAGATAGCTCCGTCTAGCAGGCCCTGTTAGCCGGTGACTAAGCTATGTCCCTGGGTGATGAACCAGGGGTCACTGTAGCACCAATGCTCACCAAGTCTCTGTTAACCCATAGGCTACACTCTAATCCTTACGCGGAGCTATTGGGACAGCCCTACGCTGTCCCAAAGACCACAGAACAGGTTCAATTTTGCCTGTAAGTCATTCAAAGTCTCTCAGAACTTAGTTATTATAATTATTGTTATTTATAATCTGTACTGCGGTGTGTGGCACTGTTTGGATCCTTAGCCTGCTGGCTAAGCTAATGCTAGGTTAGCCGATTAGGCTGCACATCCGAACACTACAAAACAGGTTAATTTCACCTTTCTGCTTTTCCGCCATTACCACTAACCAGCAGCTTTCTACTGGTCTTCAGTGCTATTTAATATTTTGCAGTTGTTTAATTCTGAGATAACACAGGGCCAGACGGTGTGAGGCCCAATCTCACATCCCCATCCTCATTTCACTTTCCAATGACCCTCAGGCAGAGTTAGCAAGTTAGCACATTTTCATTGTCATGCAAGCCATTCTGGTTAACTGTGAAACTTGAAATTTGGCCTAATTCTAGAGTTTTGTCTGCATCGACCAAATCAGACTTAAAAACAAGCTAAAACCAGGTGGCAGTACACATGTATTGGCTTGTACTACCAGTGCATTATACCACATTACACCACATGTCACTAAATTGAAACAGAAGTGTATGTTTTATGATTCACCCACACTTTCTGTCCACTGTACCAGAAGTTTGTCGCAGAGTAACAGTCTCCCAGCACTCAGAACCCATTGTTCGTGTATTAGAGTCCCACTGCAGACCCGGAACGGCTCAGCAAACCCGAGTAAAGGAAGAATGTCTGCATCATCCAGCAACTGCTGAGCCAAACGCACGTGGTACGGATGATCCGTGACGCTGCACCCCCGGTCAGGATGCTTACACACATAGGACACGGCACCTGGTAAACACATTCAACAGTCAATTGCTTATTATCCTTATCGCTTATGATCCTTATTATCTCTATTATTATTTTATACCATTTTACATTGTGAGAACTACTCATGAGTGGAGCATCATCACTTAAAACCAGGGCTCAGCCCGTTTTTTGGGCATGATTAGCTAACCGTACTCGGGGCTACAGAACCATTTAGTGGGATGATCTACTGACGTAGCTATTTACTGATTGATTCTATGTCTATGCCAGTATTGTGCCACAGCGTCCTGCTGCATTATTTCAAACCCTAAAACAATCAGATGAGTTCAGTTTGTTTACACAGATGCCAAATAAATGAAAGCAGTGCACTATTTTAAATCCACCATTCCTTAAACATCAAAGCTCCAGCAGCACTGCTGTGTCTGATCCACTCAGACCAGCACAACACACACTAACACACCACCACCACGTCAGTGTCACTGCAGTGCTGACAATGACCCACAACCCAAATAGTACCTGCTCTGGGAGGGTCTATGGGGGTCCTGACCACTGAAGAACAAGGTAAAAGGGGGCTAACAAAGTATCAGAGAAACAGATGGACTACAGTCTGTAACTGTAGAACTACAAAGTGCACCTATATAGTAAGTGGAGCTGATAAAGTGGACAATGAGCGTAGAAACAAGGAGGTGGTCAGAATGTTACGCCTGATCTGTGTAATTCACTGTTGTCAGGAACAAAACCTCGCATCTCCAAAATGGTAACTTTACAGGAGAACGAAAAAAACCTACTTTACTTTTAATGTAAGTCAATGGAACCAGAATTTTTTCCAAGTCATTTTGAGTCGTTTCTTTTGGTCCATTCACCGTGAAATTTACATACATTGTAAATTGATTTCATCAAAAACTGCAAAACGACAAAAATAAAGATATAAGGTTTTGTTCGGACAAAAGCGATATACATGTATTTGTTACTTCCACTGCATGCTTCCTAATGAATACCAATGTATACATATATTATAAATTTGTTGGCTTATGTCCATATGTATGTCCATATGTGACTAATTTAAGTTGAATAAGGGAATCCTCATCAGTCAATGTGTCATATATTTGAAATCCACATATTGCCAAATTTCACATTTCTGCATGGGAGGAATGAAGTAAGTAGAACTGCAAAAGTGCGGAGGAGAAACGTTTCTACCATTTTAAGTCCTAAACCACGTTTTTATAACTGTCTACTGTCTGGAATTGATACTTGCTGCCAACACGTGTGTCTAAAGTGCTGCTCTGTGTCCAGATTCTTCTCTCTGTGGTGAACATAATAGCCAGAATCACGTCCTCAAGTAAGTGCACAGGTTGAGGAAGCCTGAGAGACGACGAGTTCACAACCATTTCTCTAAAGAGAATTACAGATCAATCGCTTTAAAATGAAGAATAATAGAGTGTTAAGCTGGTATTAAGATGCACATTCAAAGCATGTTCTGTACCTAATCAGGCAATAATCTTACCTGTTGCCAAAAACAGAAGATGCAGAAAAGTGAACGTCTCCATTCTGCTCCTCTTGAGTTTTGCTGAAGAAGAAAATGACACAGGATAAATTCCCATCATGCCTGATTTCTCCTCAGTCACATGATTATGAGTAAGTAAAAAAGTCCCTGGCAAGGTTGAGGAGTCAGGGTTGGCTCAGAAGGACAGTTTTCCATTCTCTCTTCTGTGGTGGCTGAAGTGACAAGAACGCCTGTTTTTTTGAGGTTAGTAACTGTCCGTAAGGCAGCAGCAGAACTTGTTTTACCAGCGCTTACTATTGGCCGAGGCTGCCGAGTTTAGTCCAGCCTCAGGAAGAGTCAGCTAATGGATGAGGCCCAGCTCAGCGCAAGCACATATTGGCTATCTGGGCCAACTGTGTTGCATATGAAGAAAAGGGATTTGGGCACCGTTTACCTGCTGAGCAACCGTTGCCTTCGTGTCTAGTCCAGGCATTGCCAACCCAAATGTTAGGAAGAGCTGTTTTGTCCTTTCAACAAAAATCAAACTACCTTGGGAGTCACAACATTTTATGTCCGTTTTACCATTTTGGGTGTAAATACGTCTCAGTATGTGCTGATGTGCTAGTATAGAATAAAAATATATAATATAAACAAAAATCCAGACTCACTTTGCTCTGCTTTAAGCTTTCACTCAGCCAGAGCCACTTTTCTCACATCTCTGGCAGGAAACTTTTCCTCAAAAGTAGAATAGTTTCTGCTAAGATGTCTCTCAGCGTTCAACTTTTTCCAAGGCTGAAGTCGCTTCTCATTTGCCAGCTTCTTGTTTGAATTTTCCTGTTCCACCTTAAATGGCGCTTTAGGTGCCAGAATGTAAGTGCTGCGCCATTTAAGGTGGAATATGAGAAGCTGACTTTGGCTTTGCGACTTTTTAGTGTTTGACAGTTTCTCGTTGCAGATCAAAGGTATCAGGAAACCAGCTGGAGTGATTAAAAATGTAAATCAGTCCATTCGTCAAATTATCAATGTTCCTCTTAAATTTCTCTCTTTGCCTTTTCATTAGCTACTAGCTAATGTCTGTGTTGCTATGGTGACCACCAGTCTGCGCTGATCTTCAGGGTTAAAGGGTGAACCAGCAGTTCTACATTAACTCCAGCGTTTAAGACCATTTAGTGTTAAACTGTGTTGAACGATCAGCAGAGCTTTATTTTACTGTAAAGGAGGATTATTTTATTTTTACCTACAAATCTGATTCTGCTGTGCAGCCACAACAGAGCAGACCCACAGCTAATGTATCTCAGTCCTGGAGCCTCATTTCAGTGTTTCCCCTGTTACAGAAGCCAGAATGAAAAACTGTCCTTTTGAGCCAACCCTGACTTCTCAACCCTGCCAAGGAACTTTTTTACTTACTCATAATCGATTAGCTTCACATGACTGAGGAGAAATCAGGCATGATGGAAATTTATCCTGAGTCATTTTCTTCTTCAGCAAAACACAAGAGGAGCAGAATGGAGACGTTCACTTTTCTGCATCTTCTGCTTTTGGTAACAGGTGAGATTTTACCTGATTAGGTACAGAACATGCTTTAAACACACAGCTTAATACAGTAACACTCTATTAATCTTCATTTTAAAGTGTTTGATCTGTAATTCTCTTTAGAGAAATGCTTGTAACCTCATCGTCTCTCAGGCTTCTTCAAAACTCTGCACTTACTTGAGGACGCGATTCTGGCTATCATGTTCACCACAGAGAGAAAAATCTGGACACAGAGCAGCACTTTAGACACATGTGTTGGCAGCAAGTATCAATTCCAGACAGTAGAGAACTATAAAAATGTGTTTTAGGACTTAAAATCTTAGAAACGTTTCTCCTCCACAGTTTTGTAGCTCTACTTACTTCATTCCTCCCATGCAGACATTTGGCAATACATGGATTTCAAATATATGACATATTGGCAGATATGGAATCCCTTATACTTATATTAGTCACATATGTCTTACATACATGTCCATATATGTAAGTGGTTATGTTACATACACAGATGACATAGGAACAATTATATCTGTACTGTTATAATATACCATGTACAACCATGTATCAGACATTAATATTTCTGTATGGGCTGAATAGTGGCAGTGAAATATGAATGTTCTGTTGTTACTGAAGTATCAGTACAGACATAGAAATGCTTTACTTAGTTTACTTCTCACATACAAGCAACATATGTGGTTATAATAGTGACAAACCTCCAAGAAAATAGACGTCTGAGGAGTTCGCTAACCTTGCACTGCTAACATTAGCCCTTGATAATATCAGCCATTGCAGTGAGCATTAGGTAGCTGTTGTGCTAACTGTTCAATGAGGTAGAAAATAAAGCTCAAATCCACGACGTACTGACAATTTTAACTCCTCAGTCCAGACATTTCAATTTACAGGTATGTTCTTAGCAGAGTTCTTCACTTTTTGGAATCTAGTTTATTGATAAAACAAGCTCCTAAACAGTGGTGGATGAAGTACACAAATCATGTACTTGAGTTAAAGTAGAGATGGTAAGGTAAAATATTACTCCAGTAAAAGTAGAAGTTCCTCCCTTTAGACCTCCACTTGAGTAAAAGTACAAAAGTATTTGCCTTCAAAATGTACTTAAGTATCAAAGTAAAAGTACTAAAAGATTAATTTTGACTCTGATGTCCCATTACTATTTTTGTAACATGACTCTCGCTTCATTAACTCGTTTTAGATTAAAATACTCCAGTGTCACTCTTATGTAACACTAATATTTTAATAGAATGTCATGAATTAGTCTGAAGCTGATGTCGAATAATATTATCAAAAGCAGAAAATATTAAAGACAAACAGTTTCAATCAGGTAGAACTGAGTGGCTCTAAAATAACTGTTTACAAACAAGCAAAGCTTCAGTTTAAGATTTTTTTGCAACTAAAAACTTGCTTTAAACTCTACTTAAACTTACTAAACTGCATCTGTAGGTCTCTGTTCATAAACATAAACTAGCAAAAATCAAATTTACTATAAAAAAGTGTTTATATAAATTCAGAATAAAGACACGTCAGTCACAACTGCATATGTGTGCATATTTCTATATTGTGGTCTATTTACACAAAGTTAGGTTAGTTTATCATTTATGTTTGAATAGACACTCTCAAAATTTTCCGCTGCTGCACTGACGCTGAACCGTGTGCTGCACTGGGTCGGTATGACCAACAAAATAAAGTGCTTTTTGACATGTTACATTTTTATACACACATAAACCAAAAGGAATGACAGATTTCATAATGTAGTGGAGTAAAAAGTGAGATATTTGACTTGTGTAGTGGAGTGGAAAGTAAAAAGTTGCCCAAAATGGAAATACTTCAGAAAAGTACAGATACACGAAAAACTACATAAGTACAGTAACGTATTACATTTACTTAGTTACTGTCCACCACTGCTCCTTAACTAGTTTTAAGGCAGCCAAGAGGAGATTTCACTGTATGGAAAGTGAAGCTCCAGCAAAATCATTTAGAAACTTTAACACTGTTTACATAGAGCCACATTAACTCTTTTATTTAAAAAAGTGAGGGAATTTTGGTTTTCCATGATACAAGCCTATTCCAGGAAAGCTGTTTGTTAAGTATGTTAATTAAGTTTTAATTGTATTTTATTCTCACTGCTGTTGAGGTTCCTCAAGGACATGAGTCTCAGTCAAGTTTCTCTCCACTAATGTGTCATTGTCAAGCAGTGTAGAAATCCTGACACTCGTTAAATCCATAACTTAAAAGTGCTTAAATGAACTCAATGATTTGGACTAGCAAAGTGAAACCAACACAGTAACTAGCCAACACTACCCATTATTGTGTGCTAACAGGATGGGCCATCAGATACCAAACTAGGCTTAATAACTGGCCGCCTCCCTCTTCGTGTCAGTAAGCAGTTTCTAGACTAAAATGTAGAGATAATAGCTTTAAGTCCTAATCTTATTGCTGCTCTAACAAAACATTCTTTCTCTGAAATCTAGAGTTGCTCTCAACTTTAATGTATGCTTATAAAACAGTATTTTACTCTGTCATATTTCTGATGCTCCATTCATCATGAATAGTTCTCACAATGTAAAATGGTATAAAATAATAATAGAATAGAGATAATAAGGAAAGTGATTGTCTGTTGAATGTGTTTTGCAGTGTTTGGATGTGTAGCCTAATCGGCTAACTTAACATTAGGCTGGCTAAGGCTAAGGACCACAGTACAGGTTATAAATAATAATACTAATAAATATTAATAAGAAAACTAATTGCTGAGAGACTTTGAATGACTTACAAACCCAAAATCAAACCTTTTCTGTGAAGTTTGGGACAGAAGCTAATAATAGCTGATGTAGCATGCTTGTTTCCTGCTAACTGAAGCTAAAATGGTCCTTGTTTAGAGGATTTCTGAGGGCGCAGAGTCGAGTGATTGGTGTAGGGGTGAAAGCTGAATGCAGTCTGTACTGAGTGGAGCTCTTATGCTTCGCTGAGCCGCTATCATGTTTAGTTCCTCTGAGGTTTTTACTGCCTCTGATTTTTTTTCTTCTATTTTCTATCAGAGCTTCAACGCTACAGTCAGTGACCCCTACAAAATATTGTAGTGTCCTGCTTTTGGCTTGTGCTGCTGTGTGAGCGTGGGAGGCATGGCCATGGAAAGCACCCACATGCAGAGGCTCTCAGATGGTGCCAGTTCACAGTAGGACAGACCTTAATGCTGTAAATAAGCTGTTATGCTTGGTTTAAGATGTACATGTGTGTTGCTGGTGTTATTCTGTGTTGGGCTGTGGGCTAGTCATGGTCCATAACTCTTGACCACCAGGGGTGGTACCTGTCGAGTGGATATCTCTCTGCGTACTCAGCATAGACCAAGAACTGAATACCAAGTGAGTCACAGTTTGACCTCTGAACATGATGTAGCCTGGCGGTAAAACACGACATATCATGTTAAAAGCATCAGCTCCTCATCCTCACACGATGTGACGGCTACAACAAGCATAACCTACGGGTTAACAAAGGCTTGGAGAGTATTGGTGCTACGGCGGCTCCGGCTTCCAGGGGAATCATCATCATCCAGGGACATAGCTTAGC